CAATGCCCCAGCAATGTCAATCCGAAACGCGAGCCATCTGTTAGTGGCCCACAAATAGATGAACGGGCGGTTGTGTGTGTTGACCTTCAATTGGCTGTCCTCGATGAATCTCGACTCGTCGCCGTAGGCTCGAATGGTGACCACTCCGCTCAGCGTCTCCCCAAAATGTTGGAACAGGGGGCTCCGCTGGACTGCCTCAATTCGTTTCAAGTCGCGTGACGAGCGGATGTAGAGGAGACCGGTCAACACGTACATGATGGTGATGAAGACACCAGGGATCAAGAAGCCCGGAGTGATGACGGAGATTAGCACCACAATTGTAAGGACAGCGGCAGCGCTGTGAAGCATGCCAATCGCCACAGGAGCAACTTCCTGATCCAGAGCCTGGATGTCTTTAGAGAAACGATTGGTGAGTTGGCCCAGCGGCGTCGAATCGAAAAAGCGGAATTTGGCGCGTAGAATGCTGGTCAACAGTCTTTCATGCAGACACCACGACTGAAAACACCCGTCAGCGCACATACACTTTTGAAGGAGCCGGTGGACCAGTGACTCTTAGAAGGCCAATCCAGCCTCATATAGGAGAACTTACAGCGCGACGAGATCCCCAGAACAGTATGATTTCTCGGGAGACTAAGAGTTTTGTTAGCTGTATGAGCATCGAGGGAGCAATAGGATAGGGGACTTACAGCAAATGAAGACGTAGAGAGCTCCAATTACAGCATATATCCCAAGGTAGTAGCCATCGTCGACATCATAGAGCGACTGGACAGTCCAGGATATGCTGTAGGTGGGCGCTGTTTGCGGCATTTGAACATACGAACCTCCAAAATTCGACGTTGCTCCCACCGACTTTACGTGGTGAAAGGCATTTGCTGCAGCATGTGTCGTATGCGCGCCGCGAACATGGTAGGCGTTGGCCCACTGTCTGATCCACAGATTGGTCGCCACGGAACCCAGTTGTGTTGCTATGAATCCCCACGCAGCGAAGATCCAGTAATACCAAGGGCCCATAGCCTTGAGATACATTTGTACTGTTGACCATTTCACGCTTCCCGTGGCTTTTGCTTCAAGCCGATGATCGATAAATGGTTTCTCAGGCTTATTCGTCTTTGATTTGCTTCTGTTGGTCCCCCTTCCGTTCGGGGTCGCTGTACCGTTTGCGTGACTTCCAGATAAATGTGAGCGTTCCTCTTCCAGGTTGGATGGAGTACGAGATGGCGGTCGGGAATTGGTTCTTGAAACAGGACGTGACTTGAACAGTTCGTCCCCAAGCGCGCCACTCTCGACAATTTCTTGCGGTGTCCCTTGCGCCACGATTCTACCGTTGTCCAGAACCACTACCCTACTCGCGAGTGGGACCGTGAGTGCCACGTTGTGCGAGACCAAGATGCAAGTCCGGTGACCCATCAGGTTGCCGGTGAGAGCTTCTTCGAAGATGTGCTTGGCCGTGTGAGCATCGACGGCACTGAGACAGTCATCGAGAAGAATATGCTTTGAATTCGAGTAAATTGCTCGGGCAAGCGATATTCTCTGTTTTTGACCTCCTGATAAAGTGATCCCCTTCTCACCGACAAGTGTCTGATCACCAGCATCAAGTATCTCTAGATCACGTTCCAGAGCACAGATTGAGATGACCTCATTGTAGCGATCTTCATCGTAGGGACTAGCAAAGAGAATGTTTTCTTTGATTGTCGCATTGACCAGCCACGCCTGCTGTGCGCAATATGCCACGCTCTCAGTCAGCCCCGTCACAGGGTCAGGGCGTAGATCTTGTCGTACAGATCCGCCTGGGATGTGGACAGCACCACTGAGTAACTGCATTTCGCCCAGCAGAGCCATCAACAGGGAGGTCTTGCCGGCTCCCGTCGGTCCTGCGATGACGTTCAACTGGCCAATAGAGAATTCAACGTCCATGTCGATGAGTCTGAATGCCTCACTTGCATCTTCATTGGTTGTTCCCCAAGTTAAGGTGGCATTTTCCAACGCAATGCGAGTTACCGGCAGACTTCTTCGTCTGCTCTGCCGCAATTGCACATATTTTTCCGTTTCTGCTTCCTCCAGAAACTGTTCAACTCGATCGACAGAAACCTTGGATTCTTGAACGTGAGCCACCATATCGGCAAGCTGATCCAATGGAATGCGAAGCAGAGAGAACATCGACAAGGCTGGGAACGCGACTGACGGCACCAATGGTCGCTTCTCGACTCGAGTATACATGAGGAAAGAGACGAAGGTGATTAGAATCGGGACACCACTCCAGATGGTAGCTGCAGATGCCCACAACACGTATTTGCGCCACAAAGCAGACAGCTCGACATGTCTTTTCTCGTTGACATTGTTCTGGAAACGCTGTTCCCAGGCGAAATACTTGATGATTCTGATATTTTGGAGAACTTCGTTCGTAACGTGGATTCTGCCATCCGTAGCTGTCATGATTCGTTTCTGGGCCGCTTGAAAGGAATGTGCGATGTAGAGGTTGAGCGGCAGAATAAGTATCATCACGAATATGCCAACGAAAGAGCTGTAGCCAAGAACTTTGTATAGCAGGCTCACAGCCATAACAAGTTGCACAGGCACCGCAGCCCAGAGGAAATGTAGATAGGCACAGACTTCAGCGACCTTGAAGGAATCGATGGACATCAAGTTGATAATCGTGCCGTTGTTCGCTTGAGTTCGGATGGTCTTCTTAGTGCTGGCGTCAGATGCATCATTCTGCAAATTTCGACCCCTTCCGTTACACAGTGACCCGATCTTCGCCCAGAGGCCTTCTTTCTTTCGAGGAGTTTCTTCTTCAGGCTTGACATCAGCGGCCGCTGCCGCCTTTCGCCTTAACGTCTTTGAGTAGATTTCGCCGATAATGATCGCACGCAACTGAATGCAGATTTTTCGACCGATCCACAAGCCTTGACCATCGCCGACAGCCTGTACAGCTCCCGTGGCGAAAAGAAGGATGACCCACAGCCACGCCGCACTAACGGGAACTGTGTCTGTGTTTTCCAGGTATTCCAGAACGGCTTTCAGAAGGAGAGTGGGAAGAAACATGAAGACGCTGGCCAGCATGCACCATGCGCCTTGAATCAAGATCGGGGCCTTGAAGTGCAGGAGTAGTTGGACGGCCAGGGAATGGGTTTTTCGAATCTGGCGAAACTGGGCTAGTACCGTCTCTGCCTTGTCTTCCAAAGCCAGATTCCAGACATCAGTGAGCTCCAGAGTCTTCCTGAAGCCTTTCCAGACGATGGGGTCGACCCAAGTAAAGGTTGCCAGAGATAGGACGCTGGCGAGAGGTTCCCGGGACGGTTCAATGCCATCCTCGTACTCCAATAAAACACCTTTGTTTCCTTTTCGAGCTGTGAGTGCAAGCACGACAAGCGTACACGTGATGGCAAAGGAGACGATTGTCAAGGTCTGAGAAGGTTGTCCGGGACGGTGAATAAGAACTGAACGGAAGACCCAAACTTGGCAAAGCCATTGCACGATGTACAGCGTTGAACTGTGATTCCACAGGCCCTTGAGAGGAGATTGCCACCTTGTTGTCGATGAAACCAGACGTGCCCCAGCGATAACCAGGAGATATGTCCACACAGCGGTCTCTGATGTCCAACTTCTTCTCTTCCGGTGCGATGTGTTCAAAAGGCCAACGACGTTTACGGCAAGTTGTGCGGATAGCAGTAGGAATTCAAAAGTGACCATGAAAACTTCTCCTGTAGGTTTGTTCACATCCTTCGTTGAATGACCCCCATGCGAATATGTCTTTTGTAACGTCAGCCTAGCAAGGCTATCATCGTCTTCATCGCTAGACTCGTGTTCCTCCTCGCTAGTATCGACCAGGAGATCTCGAGGCCGGTTGTGAAATCGAGTCGTCCTTTGCCACAGCAATTGGTGAAGTAGAAGCAAGAGAGATATCGCACATGCCAGCAAAGGGAAGAGAGCCTGGAGATAGCTATTTGAACTCGATCAGCACATAACGCCGGAAAAAACATGCGAGGTCACATACTCGGACTGGAAGCATGGAGACAAGTCGTCGACCCGCCATATCGGGTTGCTGCAATGCGCGAACATTGCCGCAATTGATTTTCCACAGCAGTCACCACTCTTCAATCGATGCGGGGATGGCAAAATTCATCTCGGACTGAACAAGCAGTGAGTGCTAGATGATACTGATAGGGACAGGATTAAGAGCACGTCCAGATGAAAATACGACAAGAGCCAATTCCATAACTCAATCACATGGGCAGAGAAGACCTAAATGGACATGCTCGGTTGTTATTGTCAAAGTGGTCCCTCTTTCCGCGGTCAACACATTTACCAAGCCTCTGACGCCACTTATTACTTGCGGTCAAACTTTCCTACAAGATTGATGTTTAGGCATGGCCGAGCCGGGAAATGAGGATTGAAGGTGAGTGGCTGGAAGGCGCGAGACTTTCCTCGGGCACTCTCGGGGGCAATCGGGGTACAGGTACCTGTGAGTAGTGGGTAATAGGGACGGCCGAAGCCCAATATGACAGCCTGGTGACCCAGTGTGGTAGCCGACCATCCGGCTGCGGACCTCTTGTTAGTCTGGCACGTCAACGGCTTTATCACCTCATATAATTGCTGGATCTCATCTCACTCAAGACTTCGACCGCTTCTTCTGACAATTATTGGAAAATCGCTCCTTTCCTCTCTGCCTGATCCTCTCTCACGAATCCTGTTGCTGTACAGTCTATTGTATGCTTCTTGAAACTTGCCACACCTCGTTCTGGCCGTCAGACCCTGGAGATTCGTTCTCTAAACAGATTGTGAACAATGTATAGTTGTCGGTAACAATCACCTGCGGCGGTTAAACAAACACCATTCAAACTTTTTATTCACCCTGAGGACAATCACTCCGGAGTTATTGCTATTCTACCTCCTCAAACGCTTCCCGCAACCAAGTCTCCTTCCCCCTTCCAACATCCATCTCTCGGTCTTTGTCTCCCCCACTACGCGCACCACCCTCTGTCGCAACAATTTCGCCCAAGATGTCTCAAGCTGTACTCATGAAGGAATATAAGGCATTAGCCAAGGAGAAATGGGTTCAGATCGAGGTTGGATGTGGCACAAATCTTCCCGTACATTAAGTCTGACCTAGCCAGATCGATGAAGAGAACATCTACCACTGGAATCTGGCCTTGATGGTCATCAACCCTGATTCACTCTACTATGGTGGTTACTTCAAGGCTCAGATGAGCTTCCCCAAAGATTATCCTTACAAGCCACCGGGTAAGCATATCGGCCCCGTCAGAGTTCGTTCGAGACTGACTCGTTCCAGATTTCCGCTTCTCCAAGCCACTGTGGCATCCAAACATTTATGCCGACGGCCGACTATGCATTTCCATTCTTCATGCCCCAGGCGAGGATATCATGTCTGGCGAAAGCGCTGGTGAACGCTGGTCGCCGGCTCAACGCGTTGAATCGGTGCTCATCTCCATTCTTTCTTTGCTCGATGATCCCGAGATATCTTCCCCAGCCAACGTCGACGCCAGCGTCATGTTTAGGGACGATAAGGAAGCATTCAAGGCGAGAGTCAGACAGGACGTTGAAGCCTCGAAGAAGGACATTCCAGAAGGGTTTGTCATGCCTACACACGAAACGACCATGCCAGTCATCGAGAAGATAGACGATGATTTCTGGAACGATAGTGACGCGGAAGACGTGGATTTCGATGATTTCGACGACTTTGATGACGATGCAGCCAACGGCAGCGAATCGGATCAGGAGTTGAACAACGAATCCGAAGATGAGGAGAACTACGAGGACGATGACGATGACGATGCGAACCATGTTAAAGGCAAGACTCGGGGAGATCAAGTCGACTCTGACATGGCAGAACCCAAGGAGTAAAGGACTGTGGCGTCTAGGGTATGGGCCAGTGCTAGCACGCTTCCAATTTGCCAACAGGAGTTTGCGACGGATTTCCGCTGGCGGTGATCGAGACAAGAAGCCTGAGGCTACGATCTCCGTTCGAGGTTTGAGGGGGATAGTCATTTCCAAAGCCAGTCATTCGAATTCAGCGAAGGCGTCTGGGGTTAGTGTGCATAGGAATCCATCGTGAAATAAGGGGGCAGCTCTCTGAGAATTCATAATGCATGTTATGGGAAAGCAGCCAGCATGGTACCCCTGCTTAAGTTCTGCTTGCCGTGTGGTAGACAGGTTTCAAGGTTGGGTTCTCTGCAAAACAGAATATTAGTTGTCCTATGCTTGGGCTTCTATGCAGTTGTCGTCGTACAAGAGATCTCATCAGCACCGCTGGCACGATGGAGCGCCTCATTTAGCCAACCGCAAAATCTCTTGCACACATCTTTGGGGTTGCTCCTGGTTCACCCAGTGCCCGGCTCCATCGACAAGCACAGTTCCTCGATACATAGACTGGTTTACACTCTGACCATTCTCCATAGCCTCCACGGCACCCGGTTCTTGGAAGGTGCCCCAATCCTGTTTGCCGGCCACAAACACGGTCGGGACGGAAATCTTTGCGCCAGACCACGCTTGCATATCTGATGCGATGTCTGGCTGCGTCTGCACGCGATACCAGTTCAGACCACCTAGGAACGAGGTACGGCCCCATTCCTGGACGTAGATGGCGAGTTCGTCATCCGGGAGCCAGCGGGCAGCACGCGAGGCAACGACTTGGGGGTCTTCCTGGGCCATGTCTCGCGCCACGGCCTGACGCATATTGTCCTCCAGATCCATGATGTAGTACCGTGGCATCTTTTCCAGTTCCGTCGCGGTCCATCCGTCCAGTTTGTGCGGGTCGTTGACGTCCCAGTCCGCAGACTTTAGGTGGAAGTAGCCGCGAAGAAACGTATGCAAAGGCGGACCCGTGGGGTTGGTCATTTCGTCGTTTGAGGGCGGGGTGCAGTAGTACCATTTGTAATGTTTCCTGGGGCGGGCCAGTTGGGAGAGATCTTTTTCCATGTCGACCGGTGGTGGCGGTGCCGTGGAGCCGGCGCCATAGGATGGAGAGATGGAAAGAGGAGGCTGAGGAGCCCCTTTCGAGGGATGCGACATCATCACCAGGGACTGGAACATGTCCGGTCGGGCGAGGGTACATATATATGCGGTCATTGCCCCAAAATCATGCCCTGCGACGCAGGAAACGGAGGTATAACCAAGAGCATGCACCAGCGTGACCGTATCTTTGACGAGGTTCAAGGGGCGAAACGAGGACGCCTCAAGTGGTTTGCGGGAGAAAGTCCTCCCATATCCTCGGTGGTCAAAGGCGACGGCATGGTAGCCTTGTGCGGAGAGCAATGGGAGGATTTTGCGCCACGAGTATGCGAGCTCTGGGAACCCGTGAATCAAGAGAATCAGCTTTGGCTTGGGGCCGGAAGGCGGGAGGTTCTCTGGCAGCGATTCGAGGATGTGGAAGACGAGGCTGTGAGGCGACGTATCGACAAAACGAGATCTGATACCGGCGGGCAATGGAAGTGGTGACAGGGAACTGGGATCAATGGCATCCGCCGGCGATTCTTGATGAGTGTATGCCATGGTCAGACAAGATAGATGGAGGGACTCTAAGGAGCCAGATTGTTGTAGAGAGATACTACGAAAAGTCCTACGAGTACCAACCGTATACAAATACTCTCACGATGCGGGGGAAGTGATGCTGACGACGCCCTCCGAACAGTACTAATTGAGTAATGAAGTGCCAGGTTATCGTCTGACGACTCGTCTTCCCACCCCCAGTGACCGAGGCAGGATTCTAGCACGCTGCCAACGGTCTTTCTGTTGACCACTATCCCTTCAGCGTTATAACCGGAGTATTGCCCTTCATATACGAGAGTTGCAAAAGAACGTCTTGTCTATTACTGGCAGACCTCTTGCCCCTTCGGGCACCGGATCTCATTTGTCCAGACTGGGTGACTGCTTACTTTACCCCGAGCCTGATACCATGGTGGGCCGAGGGACAATCCAAAGCGTGGCATGATATCCGCCTTCGTGCATACGGCATATACAGGACAAGTGGCTGGAGGCCGGCAGTGGTTTCAAAAAGGATCTGATCTCTTGTTAGTAATCGATTAGACTCGAACAGGAATCTAGAGGGATCTGCAGGTTCCGTTGCTGGACGGAGGGCACAATTCAGGGCAAGGCAGCCAAAGGGATGCGGAAGGGAATGCCGAGGGTGATCTATGCACGTGGCTATACCATTGATTTCCGGATTCTGCACATTTGATGCCTTGAAAGAGTCGTCGGTACGTTAAAGTGATACTTTTCTCAAAGAAGGTGATTGTTTGACATGGAGAGTTTGGAGAGTGCATCATCAGCATGAAAAAGGCATGACGTAAGGATTGTCATGCATTATGATTGGTATGTGATCATCAGCTCCACAGACAACCTCGAACCCCCCCCAACACAGCCACAAGTCGATACCTTTTCGACTTGTCACCAGCCGCCTATTCAGCTCAGTCGGTACCTAAGTGTCCACAGTCGCCCACTGCCCAGTAGTGCCCAAGTAGTAGAACTCTGTAGCTTCAGACCTGCTACGATTCCAGTACTCGTAGATACTTACTCAGTTGTTGGCACTCTAGCCCTTTTTTCGCCCCCATCTTTCCTTGGTTACGGAGCTCCCATCTCCCTCACTCCCGCACCGATCCACACCCCAAATCATACCTACCTTGGTATCCCAGAAAACAACCCATCTGTCGCAAAACTGCGACGCACCTCTTCCTTTCCATCGCTGTTTTCGACCTTGTCAGGCGGGAGAGCTCACCTTGAAGCGACATGGGGCCTGTTATCGCTCTTTATCCCTTCGATAACCACTTCAGCCGCTTGGTTTGATACCTCGCTTCCAGTTCTCCCGTCTGCGATCCTGCATCATTCTCCATTGATCGCGTGGCAATTACAGCACCACCATCTCGAGGACCATCGCAATCATGAGTTTCTTGCACAGAAGGAGCAGGTCTGTGTCGGCCTCTGTGAGTAATCCCTTTCGGCGCCCCATTCGGTCTTGCCATTCAGTCCAATGCTGACGTTTGCTCGACTTCAGCGGCCCCAGACTCCTGCTTCAGCTTCCGCCCATCTGGCGGCCACTCAGGCATTCCTCAATAGTCGGGCCTCGCAGGCAAATCTGTCAGCTTCTGCCGCTGCCCAAGCCCTGAGAACCATGTCTCCGACTCCGACCCCGGTGGATCAGATTCAGACAAAGCGCATGATTCAAAGGCAAGCCTCCTCCGGTTCTCTCTCAAGTTCAGCCCGGGGTCGAGGAAGAGGCGGCTTGCAGAGGCAAAACAGTTCTGGGTCTATGACTGAGAGGACGTTTAGAACTCCATCACCATCACCTGCGCGACCTGTCTCGCACTCAGGACTCCAGGCCCCTCCGCTACCGACTATTCCGCAACACTTTGCTCCTCCCCCTCCTCCCCCAACGACACCGCCCAAGAAGAAGAAAAAGAGAGCATCCAGCCAAGAAGCTCCTCAACCTCGCGTACTCTCACCACCACCGGTGCGACCATCAAATCGCGGCCAGAGCCTTGACAGGTACGGATCACCGCACCAGCAACAGCCGTTAGCACCGAACGTTCAAAGGAATACCCCAGTGTCTCAGAGCAATGATCTTGAACGGGTTGATAGCCGGAACTCCATCAATTTTTCGAGACCTTTGTCGCCGCGACCCCAGTCCCCGGTGGCGCAATCCCCGATGGCGCATTCTCCGGTTATCGTGAATGGTGATCGATCTCACTTTAGTGACGTCGCACAAGGAATATCTCCTACCCAAGCCGGAGAGATTCAACACGACCTGGTGCAAACAGCAAACCAGACTGTTAAGAAGAAGAAAAAGAAGGTGGCCAACAGTGCAGTGGAAGGTGGTCATCTTCAGACTGGGACAATGGCGAGCAGACCAATTGTCCATTCGCTAGAACCAATTCCGGAACCACAAATACAAACTCCCTCAGATCAACAGCCGCTTGTTAGAACAAAGAAGAAGAAGAAGCCTACATTCAATGGAGATAGTATTGATTCTCCCGCCACCGAGTCGTCGCGGACAGACTCAGACTCGGATTCGAATGTCGAGCGCAAGCGAGAAAGGAGAACCCAGCGAGCATCGGGGATTTTGCAGAAACAGCCATCTATCGTTCGGGAGGACTGGGAGGGTGAACAGCAGGAGCAAGCCAGCCCACTTCATGCCAGTCAAGGTGCAGATACAAACACGAATACTGCGCCGGAAGTGACACTTCGCAATCAGGTAAAGAGTCCTACGGATGCAATCGATCCTCCTCGGAAGACAGAGTCCGCCATTTCGCCATCGGCACCTAATCAATTTCGTTCTCCGCAGACGCAGGAAACTCACGCACAAGCTGGGCGTGAGGAATCGCCAGCTTCAACCAGTCACCTCCAAGTTACCGAACCCCAGAATACTCGGGGTACTTCGCTCAGTCCCTCACGGTCCACTCGGTTCTCGGACAGGTTGTCTTCAGATCTTGCTGCAGGGCGAAAACACGAGCCTCCTCCGCGGTCGATATCACCGGCTAAACCTGCGCTCAAGCATCATTCCCCTACACCAGCATTTTCTCGTGGCGAACCTCGTGGCGCTAGTGTTACCCCGAGTGAGTCCTCTGATATATCGAGCGCGTCAGCCGACGGTCCTCTAAAACGAAAGAAGTCTGTGCGGGTCAGCTTCGAGGTTCAGCCAGAAATAGTTGGTACCGCCGCGAGTGTCCAGAGTCCGGCAGATAGCCCGAGCAGAGAGAAAAAAGGATGGCTTGGCCTGGGAAAGGCCAAGTCGACGCAGAACACCTTGTCTTCCAACGACGACATGGAAGTGTTGATGAAGCCACGCCCGCAACTTCCATCATTTGGAAGCGTTCGTGGCCAAAAGTTTAGAGATATCAACGATTCCAACA